CATGTATTGCTACAATGATATCAGAATCAACAGATGCAGGAACTATTAGTGGTTAGTTAATGATAACAATGTGTATCTAATCTATTGCATACACTCAGTTGCTATTGCTGTACCTATCACTGGTCTATTAACTGGACTCATTACTGCAGTAATTACTAGTATCATTTGTTTAATAATGAGGAAAAAGGGAAGGACTACCAGCTCTAAAGAAACAGACCTGTGTGGCCCTGTATATGATTTACCAGTAGTAGATAATAAACAATCAGAAGAAAAACACATTGATGTTCAACGAAACACTGCATATGGACAAGCATTCTGATAAAATAATTTTAAAAGTGAAAAAAATTATATGGTCTTACATAATTAATGATTATACAGTCCAGTTCCCTCAATAACACCATAAGCAGGACATTCCTTCAATGATAGTACTGATTGTGGGGCTGGCATGTTCTCATACTGTGGATTAACAACTGGTGATGATAGTTCTTGTACTTGTAAATAAAAATTTGATGCATATTTACACAAGTTTTGGTTATTTCCTAGCAGTTGTTTTATGCAATGAAATTATTTTTGCACAAACTAGATAGCAATATTATTATGTACATTTTAAAATACAGATGTGCACAATTGCACATTACAGCACACTAACACAACAAACACATCACTTCCTGGTCATGTGACATGTAGGTACTGTATATAGTGACAGTCATGTGATGCCATAAAAATTTAAGATCTACAAACACTGGGGATGTGTTTGTGACTGCATGGTTCATATAATGGCTACTTTTGTCTTGAGAAGTGTTTCATTTGCTAGTGCCAGACTAGCATTATCCTACCAATGGAGAAAGAATGGTCCTATTTCAATTTCTACACTTTCATCAAAAATACGTAAGAAAGGAGCTTCATTTAATGTAATGATAAAACTTAAACTTAACATACCGTATAACGCTTTATTTTGGTGGCACTTTATTTTGGCAATTTTGCTGTAAAATTGTAATTGTTGGTTTTTAATTTGGCAATTTTTGTGTACATGTGCATTACTGAGCATGCGCATTAATGACTGGCGGTTTTAATATTGGCGATTCTACTTGCAAACTGCCAATCGCCAAAATAAAACCCCGCCAAATTAAAGCATTATATGGTATGTTATAATAGTTAGTTATGTATATACTTTTAAGGTTTCCGTATGATTAGCTCATCAAGTTCAAAGGTTGATGCTCACACTGAGGATGATGGGTTAGCTACACCTATGGAAATGATCGAGGCAGCATTACCAAGCCTATGCATAGCAGAACTGAAGATGATTCCTGCTAGGCTTTATTTTAGCAAAAAAGATTACAACCTTCCAGAAAATGCGTTCACTCTGATGAATGATGGAACAATAGAGGTGCTGGAAGTAAGAGATGATGATGATCCTCAGCTCTGTTATGAGAAAGGTAGTTTCGCCAAGTTTGTGACAATGAAAATAAAGGGAATTGAAGAGACTGTAAATCTCCATTATTTAATGCATGACACAAACTATGACAAACTCTTCGATCAGTATTATGTGCTCGAGCCGAAGATGGAAATTTCAATTAGTATTGGCAGTTGTCGTTTTTTCTTTGCTAGTGAAAGTCCCTTGAGTGAAAAGTATGATGCAGGGAGCTATGAGGTCCTGAGTCAACTTCACAAAGCACTTGGAATTCCAGAGGACAAAACAAAACAGATGATCTACCCTCTCGTATATCCATACATACTTAGGTCATATAATGCACCAAAAGTACTACCATTACAGTGTTAATTCAGTGCTGATTTAGCTACAAAATGACATTATTTGAATAATCATTGATCCCATGTTTGAATTAGATGCATTTAAGTTTAAAGATCATACCATTTTGCACTGAACAATGTTAATTGAAGTGTTGATTTACAAATAGACATTATTGAATATGGAGTATAGTTGATCCCATTTCTACAGTATTTAAGATATCATGCCATTATGCACTGAATTGACTGACTAGCACTAATTGAAGTGTTGATTTACAAATGGAATATAATGGATCCCACAGTTTTATGCTTATTTCATGACAGGCCAGACAGGGTTCACTACAAATGCTCCACTGCACTGTTCAAACTTGAAGTGTCTAGTCTAGATCTACTAGCTATACAATTAACATTGTAACAATAATAATGATAATAGTTTCTCACTTCCCCATTAATGGGAGATGGGTTCAGAGTAGTCTGGCCACCCAGGCCAGACTAGGTCCAGAGAGTGTGACCCATCAAAGGTTTGACAGCTGTTAAGTGTCCAGACTAACTAGATTGCACGTGTGCTGCTGATCTGATGTGGGCATGTGGGTGGAGAGGTGTAACAGTTGGTCAGTTACTTACACATTGATCAAGTCAATCAAGCACTCGATCAAGCATGGCTAGTTCTCTTGCCTTGAGAAGTTTTTATTTAGTTGCTAGTGCCAGACAACTATTATCCCACCAATGGAGGAAGAATGGTCCAATCTCAATTTTTACACTCTCAAGAAAACGTAAGGAAAGAGTTTTTTATTATTGTAAATTTTTAAAAAATTAATTATATATAATATTATTTTTAAAGGCCTCTGCCATATGATGAGTTCATCAAGTTCAAGGATTGATACTCAAACTGAGGATGATGGGTTAGCTCCTATGGAGGTGATCAAGGCAGCATTACCAAGCTTGAGCTTAGCAGAACTGAAGAGGCTAGAAAAAAAGATTCCTGAGTTGCTATATTTTTGTCCTAAAGTGGAATATCTTCCAGCAAATGCATACACTTTGATCAGTAATGGCACTATAAAAGTACTGGAAGTAACAGATAATCACGATGATGATTGGCTTTCTGGAGACGTAGCTGACTTTTTGTCCAAGTGCATAAAAATGAAGATAAAAGGAATTGAAGAGACTGTAAATCTTAATTACATACAATATTATGTGAAAGAAGTTGACTATAACTAAACTTTCAATCAGTATTGGTGACTGCAGATATATTCATGCTAGGCCCAGCAACAAGTCCGATTATCCGGAATACAAAGATATTAATGGCGATGCAGTTTTGCTTCAACTTCACAAAGCACTTGGAATTCCTGAGTACAAAAAAGATGAAATGATATGCCTCCTTTTTTATCCCTACATGAATTCTACACCGTGTTATGTGTGAGGCAGAAGAATGAATATCGACTATTACACATACTAATGACTGATAATAATTGTTGTAATGTAATTATGATAAAAATGATTATGTTAATTTTTGTAGATCTAGTCTATCACGTGATCTCTCAGCTGACAGCTCACCAGCTCGATAAGATATTAAGAAGTCCTTGTTCTTCCCGGCAGTCCTACCTGTAAGAGTATACTCAGTCTTGCTGCTGTAAATACAGTGAAATGGCTACTCGAGTGGCAAATTACCTTGCCTCGACCAAACTGCTAGATCTATCTCGTCGAAATCAAATATGGTGGACTCCCGTTTTTGGCTCTAGGTCTTCTACCCCTGCACCGTTACTAGCAGCACGTAAATCCTGATATCTTTTTTACTTCATTCTTAAACTAAATTTTTATGTAGGTTTATATAGTAGTACTATGAGCTGTTCTGGTCTCGGCACTGCTGATAGCCAAGCTCA